GGGGGGGGCCAGGCCCCGATGGCCAGGGCCCTGCAGCCGGTGCAGCGCTCCGTGTGAAACCCACGGGCCCGCGGCCGTTTCCTCTCAGGAGCTCGGGCTCCTCCAGAGGCAGCCGCGCGGCAGCGCTGACATTCCTGGAACCGGCGCTTCCAGTAATGCAGCGAGTGATTGCATCAGCTGGAGAGCAGCGGTGGAACACTTTGCCGGATGGCCTGCGCGTGCACGCCTCAACACGCTCTGTGTGTGTGTGTGTGTGTGTGTGGGTGTGTGTCTGCTGCGTGTGTCCGGGCAGGCAGCTAATCGGGCGCCTAATGGGTCGAAAAGCGAGACACGCTGGAGCAGCGGGGGAAAATCTGGGTGCAAAAAGCTGCTCATCCACACCGTTGTGCTGAGGACCATGAGCCCCCCCCACCCCCACCCAACACGCAGACCAGGCTGTGGTTTCCTGGGTGTGAACGTCATCAGCTTCAAGTAAAGACAGATCAGAGCGTCTGAGTCAAACAGGCACATCTTCCTCCTCCACCTCTGTCCTTCCCAGAAGCCCCGTGTCAGAACGGCTCCGTTTGCCTCCGGCATGATTTCCACAGGAGTCCTCTGTGCCTGATCTGATTCTCACTCAGTAAATACGACGGAGTGGCTGAGCCTAAGCGAGGCACCACCCTCAGTTGACCAGGCCGGCCATCAGGGCCGCCTCCACGGCCAGAACTCATTTTGGGCTGATTGGGTTCTTACATCAATAGATTTCCAGAGATTTTTTTCCCTCGTTCTTAGTTGCGTTTGTGTGGCTTTTAATGCACAAACCTTCCACCGAGGAGTCCTCAAATGAAACCCAAGGAGAACCTTTGGGGGAGACTCAACAGATGCACATCAACGGCTGCAATAGTTAATTCAAATCTGGATGAAGAGGAATGTTCTGAGTTGCATAAACTTATTACAACTGCGCTGTTTCCTTTTTTATCCTTTTTAAAAAAAGAACCCCCCCATGCATGTGTTGTTGAATGCAACACATATTGGACCAACGAGCAGATGGATATTTTGGCAGGCTCACTTTGTGACATTTCCTTGTCCAATACCGTCAGAAATGGTGTGAAAAATCTCTAACCTGCTGTAAGCAGGACGAATTTTTTCCCCCCAAGTAAGCTTGGATAATCTCTTTTCTCCTGAACTCAGACGATGTTGACTCATCATCAGTGAGTAAATACACCATCATCAGTGAGTAAATACACCAAATCTAGATATCTATGGTAGCCTTTTATGTTGAACTCAATTAGTCACAGTTCAATAGAAGCTGGGGCATTGGACTTTTTTAAATGATCTATTTATTTAGTTTTATTGCTCATTCTAAGCCGGTCCCCTCAACGGACGCCCACCTCTGCCCGGGTCCCGGGATGGCTCCCCGCCGTTGTAGTCTGTCCCCATTATTTGCACGTGCCAGCCCTTTCCAGTTGTGGCCCGAGCCAGCCCGCTGACCTGAATTGAGTATTGATGTCTCCGGCTAAAAGTTGCGACAGCCGTCTCTGCGGTGCCGCTTTGCAGCAGAGATTTGCACCATCATCGCACAAGTTTGTGCCCCGATTTCTGCCCGGTGTCTGGCGGCAGGCTATAAGGGAACATTCACCTTTTTTCCCCCCTCATCAGGCTTTGGTGTTTAATTTTGTAGTGGTTGTTATAGAGAAGAATTTACCAGAATAAAGATATAATTGTAGCATGCAGGAAGAGAGATCTAATCGGGTTGTGAAGTGAAGATAATCCCTCATTTTCTGGTTGTAATTGATCAAAGGTTATTTAGCATTAAATGAAGGGAGGGGTGGGGGGGAGAGGTCTGTGTGAAGGTTTATATACTGAGAGACTCTGCTTTTTTTTTTTCTTGGAATATGCGTGCAAAAGGTCATGAAGGAGGCCTCTGAACGGTTCTAGAAATCATTAAATTGGAAAAAAAAGAGCATTTGAAATCATCCATTATTCAACCCCGTGTGGGCTCTGGCTGTGAGCTGTGTGTGTGTGTGTGAGAGCGCACACACTTTTTCTCATGGTTTGAGGAAGTGCAGAGGCGTCGCAGAAATGGCCCTGCTGGAATATGTAGGCCGGCTTCGTTAAACACACACACACACACACACATACACACGCAGTCTGTTTCTCCTGTTCCGGAGTCTGTCTTCGGTTATTATTTGTGGACTCCGTCCTGGAGACAGAGGGTCTCTCACGTCTGCTCCCCAGTCTTTTGTAAATGTTTTAAATTTTTTAGCGTACGTCCTCTCTGGCACAGACACACGCACACACACACATGAACAGGAAAACATGGATATTGACAGGACTCGTGGTGGATTTTATTTATATTTCCTCTTTAGGGAATCTGTGTGTGCTCAGCCGCTGGATCCCGTCGGATCGATAACTGCTGGAAAGCAGCCTCACTCAGCCAGTGAGAATTGAATTGATCCCGTATTATCGGCCGATGCTGGGCCGTGGCACCGTGTTAAGCATCTCCGACCCTTTCAGCGTGACTCGGTGCAAACAAGCTGAAGACAAAGTGGATCGGAGGGTTATAGGTGCATAGATGTTAATATTTTTTTTAATCGATTAAAAAGCGAGCGTGGAGGGCTTTGTAGGTTCTGTTGCTCAGGCCTTGTGTAGGACATGGGGCCTAAATGGAGGCAGTCAGAGGTGGTGTTTTCCCCGCACGTGCAGAACACTGTGAGCCGGCTTTCCTTTTAACTGCCGGCGTAGCAGGACTTCGGCCCCTGAAGCCTCCTGAGAGCGACACACGCAGTGAGGGCCAACAAGGGAGAGCTAGTGAACGCCCCTGAAAGCCAGACTTAGGCTCGGACGAGTGAGACCTACACTTAGCCCCAGAAAGAGTCTTCACCTTTGACTTTTGTCTTTTCTATCTGTTGGTTTTTGTTTGCCCTGCTATGCTCAAAATCAAAAAGCACCAGATTTGCATGTATGTAACCAAAGGTGCATCTTGTAAAGAACTTTGGGGTTCAAATGAAGGCCAGCGCAGATCCAACCCTTTGCTCTAGGTTGTACACAACTCTTTCCTCACCTTAAACCACAATTTTACACTTTTTACTCTTCCTTTATTCCGCTGTCTGTGGCAAAACATCATTTATCGCTCTAAGAAGTCTACGACTGCCTCCGTCTTCTTTTTAGCTTTTTAGCGCATTGATTTCCCTCGGTTGTTCAAACTGGGGTTTCTTTTGAAAGTCTAACCTGTGTAGCCCATCTGTTTTTCAGGCTGACATAAAGGGCCAGCCTTCGTGTAACTCCCTGTTTTAATGGCGCCCTGTGTTGTCGAACGTTGTGCCGACGGGAACTGAAGCCTCTTCATCTTCACTGGCTGCCATTATCAGGCCTGTTGTTGATGTGCATTAAAAGCCGCTCCACCTTTTTGTGTTGGGGCTACGGCTATATTTAGCTTGCACCTGTTTTTCATTCATAAATGGACATGATAGGAGATTTTTCTCCTGCGAGATGTGTTTTTAGAACTCTGAAACGGGCTGTCGAGAGAGGAGATGAGGGTTTTGTTTACAGCGTGCCGGGCCCTGCCTGCGTTCACACGTTAGATGGACATTAGCGGGACTTTGAACCTGGGAGCTGGCAGGGTAAAGTTCACCGAGTGTCCGGTCTGACTGATGCAGACGTCTGCGTTGTCACACACAGCTCCTGCCTGCCGTATCCAGAAACCATCAGGGCTGCCCGGCCTGTGACACACGTCACAGCATTCTGTCGGATGGTTTATTAATGTCTTTTTACTCTTTTAAGTAAATGTATTAATTAACCTTTCAGTTTGGATTTTATAAGATGAATGATCAACCAGATTTATTTGGCATATATATATGGTATATTTGGTTTGTATATATATAAATATATGTGAATAATATACAGGAATAAAGTTTTTCCTCCAAAAATTAAACCTAAAGTTTTGTCAGTATTGGGATTGAGTTACTTGAAAATGTGTTTTTTCTAACAGCCCGTTTGTGCCTTTGCGTCCGCAGGAGATAAAGATGGCAGCAAGGTAACGACAGTTGTGGCCACTCCGGGTCAAGGCCCCGACCGGCCACAGGAAGTGAGCTACACAGACACCAAGGTCATCGGAAACGGCTCCTTCGGTGTGGTCTACCAAGCTAAACTCTGCGACTCTGGAGAGCTAGTAGCCATCAAGAAGGTCCTCCAAGACAAGAGATTTAAGGTAAAAACACAAAAGCATTCTTTCAGCCCCATCCGTCAGCGATGAGCTTAAAGAACCGACCACAGAAGGACTCAGGTGGGCGGATGGATGGACGATGACTCACCCACACAGTCATGCCCTCATCTTTGTCACCTTTTCCTTTTTTTTTCTTTTTTTGGTAACATGACCAAAGGAAAGATTTGACACCTTAATTAACGGGAGCATGTTGTGTGATTGAGACGCGAGCGGGGCGATCTTTCACACGAACATGGAGCTCAGAGAAAGTGCAAAACTCAGGAGAGCTCTGCCGGTCCTCTCCACACACTCCTCCTCCAAAGTGTGTACCGTACTTCTCCAGTCAGGAGGACTTTAAATGTTTTTTATTCAGTTGTGCCCATGGTCACCGGTTTAGCTCAGTTGCCTGTGAGACGCCATGTTTCTTTCCGAGCAAAGCTCTGCTGGAATCCTTCTCTGGTGCTGCGAATAGATCGGACTGAAGGCTTGTGGAGGGAGGGAGTGTGTTTTACACTGACATGAGCGGCCCACTCACCGAGCCAGCGCTGGTTTGACCACACCGGGTATGAGGTCACGGTGAAGAAGTCTGTGTCTGCACACCCGCCCCCCCATATCTACAAATGCCCTTCACTTAAATGTTTAGCTTTTTTACAACCAGGTTAAGACATTTTCTGAGTTTCTAAAATGGAGATATGATAGTAATAAACTGAAGGATATCTTTTTATATAGGAATTTTGAATTTGAGACTGTGGAGAGCTGAACTAGAATCGATATGGCATAGGGTTTTTTTCCGGTTTTTTTTAGCTAAAAATGTTCGTTCCCCTGATATCTAGGCAGGTAGACTTTTTTCATCAAGGACAGTCAAGTCACGTCAACCCTTAAAACAGCAGTTTTTATGAGATTCTGAATGAATTCAGTGGTTCCTTTGGCTTTTTTATGTAATAGGTGACTTTCTTGTTTGGTCACAAATCTGAAATCCATATTATTAGTGTACAGTGCACTGAGTATGTTATAAATACCGCACTATTTCTGTCTTACAGAACAGCTGATGGGTACAGTGAGGATGTAGAACAGGTCTGAGTTCATTTTCATCTCGTTTTGTAACAGAAGAGGCATGTTTACTCTAGAATCCAGTTTAAGCCATTAGTACCCCGTCATGTATCAATCAGGTCTTCAAGGTCTTCAAGCAAACTCTGTTTTACTGAAGTATAAAACCAGTGAAATAAGACTCAAAAATTGGAAAACTGGTTAGATTAGACAGAGACATTAAGTTTTTCTGACGTCATTTCTTTCCTGCTGGGCTACACTTTTGGCTCTCCCTCACAATAAATGATGTGAGGGAGATAAATGATGTCACTTAATGGTGCAGGGGTCGACCATCTGCCAGCGAGCGCACGGGGACGGCGTGCGCTCTCCGTGGCCGCGCGTGCAGGCTGCCGTGAGGTGGCGGCCCGCTCCAGCTCTTAGCCCGGGGTTAGCTGGAGGCACCGACTGGTTGCCTCTTTAACCAGCTCAGCGATCAACTGACGGTCACACGCTGGGAGTGTGCACGGTTTCCCACCCTCAGCCCCAGATGTGTCCATGCCCCCTTTTTCCTCCCATTTACTTTCCCAGATCGTCCTCCTTTACAGGCGGCTTGTGGGAGGGGGGGGGACGAGGCAAACGGGAGCTAAGACTCCTCACATGACTGCAGCCATGCGTCACCAAGCACCCTTTTTCTCCTCCCTTTTCCCTTTTTTTTCCTCCCTTTTTTCTTCACGCTGTGCCGGATTTGCATGGGGAGCTCAGGTCGATCAAATCGCGCCAACCCCAACACGTGCATGTGCTTTAGTTTCCCTCGCTCACACACACACACACACACACAGTCGAAGGGGGTGATCATGTGAATAGGCTCCGCATTAGGCCGTGCTCGATGAATGCTGGAGACCATCTCGGTGAGCTTTCAGTCTGCCGGCGGTGCATTATGATACGGGACAGTCTCCATTCCCATCTGAGGGATCACGTATCAGCCTGCTGGAAAATGGAGGCTCGCATTAGAGTTTTCACCCAGAGTGAGAGGGCGTCTGCTGGCAGCTCCTCTCAGGCAGCCGCCACCGACAATCAGACCAGCAGCACACTGGGTTTTTTCCCCTTAAAGAATAAAGCAAGCTGATTGATCGGGGCGGCTCAAATCCGAACAAAAAGGTTCCCACTGAATATGCAGAATGAACCATTATTTTATTGATACATGTTATCTGGATTAGGTTTTTCTTAAATACCCAGCTTATTGAATTTTACTTTTTTTTTGTTGTGTTTTTTCATTTTCGTTAGACTAACGGAAGACTAAGTCAAGCAAATTTATGCTTGGAGTGCTTAGGATTTATATACCTTTTTAAAGGATCGGCTTCCAGTCCATATATCTGCAGCCTAAAGCCAGTTTTCAATTCGACTGAAATCACTGCTCCGCAAAAAAAAGAAATGAAAAAGTCATTCTTGGACTTCTATAAATATGGTTGAAGATGATATCATGCAAACGCCACTGCAAGTCTTAACACAGAGGATTTCACAGTTGAGTCAAACAAATTGATTTCATTTAACTTTTTACGCGTGAAAGATGTTTCATTTCCTTATTTCGATGAATACGTCTGAACCAACGGGTGAATTTACCTGCTCTGAATCCCCTGGAATCTCTGAACCGAAGCCTTCTGGGGTCTGTGACTGAGCTAATAGACACACTGACATTTGCCAGCCGTCAAACGCTAAGAGGTGGACCCAGTTCCCCGTGTAGAACCCAAAATGGCAGAGGGGGAGTAGGCCTCCAACGCAGAGGAGACCCAGGACCTGAACGGTCCCTTCGGTCCGCCGGCCGTCGTGGAAAACGTTTCCCTTTGCCTTTAAGTGAATTAAGCTGTGGGTGTCATCCGTACCTAACAGCGGCTCTGCGGAGCTGTGGCGGGGGGAGATATTGTCTAGTAAATAAAGCAGTAGTTTGACTGAGGAATAAGAAACTGTGGTGTACACCCTTATTGACTGAACGACGAGGTCTCCCTCCGCCAGCCGGCGCACAATAATAAGGGACCGCATTATTCTCTGCTTCGGACTGTTCAGCAGCACCAGCCTGTCCCCTTCACTTTGGCATTCGCTCTCAGATCAAATCTGACTATTTACTGGGCTCCTCTCTCTTCTGATATCTAACCCAAAAACATTGCCTTTTAAGGCGCCGGTCACACGGAGGCCGGCCGAAAAGCCCACAGGGAACTGTTCTTGATTATTTTCATTGGATGACATTTTCTTTAGAGAAATCCTTTTCTTCCAAAATGCTAAAATACATTGTCATGTAAACACGTTTGCTTTCTCCAGTCACCGTTGCTCCTAGTATTCAGTTTAAATTCCGCTCTGTAGCCCAGTGTGAAAATGTTAGATGCGAGTAGAACCTCTAAATGATTTTATAACCGCTAAAAGGCAAAGAAAAGCATCAAATCCTCTCATTTAGCGCGGAGGAATGAGATATTGGACTTTTTTGACTTGTCTTATCAGAGTGGTTCACAATGGATGCGGCTTCAAATGAAGTAATAACTTTAAACGGCGAATAAAGAGCGAGTTAACTTAATCGGTAATTAAGATGATTAGTAATTATCGCCCTCTCTAGCTAATGTAAATGGATTTTTAAGTGAGCAGAATCACCGGTATGAGAAGAACGGTTTCAAGCTCAATAATTCTTATCTAATCTTCAGTGTCCGTCCCATCCTCCATTCAGCCAGCGTCAGAGGCATTCTGATTCTTGTCACCCTCATCCAGCTGACCTGTGCTCGGCTTTCACACCAAACTGGCCTGACACTGAAACCGGGTGTGTTTAAGCCAGGGAACAGACCATCCTGAGACATCCTGAGTCTGAACAGCGTGTTCTCCTGGAAACCTGCTTGTCCTGTCCTTGATGTCTTCTGTAGTTGTCATACACCGTCAACTGTTAACCTCCAGGGAACCTCCTGAAGCCATTTCACACTGAGCAGAATTTTCTAAAAAATGGTCAGTTCTGAGCATAAATGATCATTATCCATGACCAACATCTAAAACCTTGCAAGGCGGCGCATTGTGCTGCTCGGTGGCTGTATTTATTATTTTTAAAAACCCACATTATGATATGTGTTCTGACCGCTTTTCTTTTTTTTTCCGCGTTTTCTACTTTAAGGTCCTCACTGTAAAGGTTACATAAGCACTTTAGATAAAGTCACCACAAAGCCCTGTGATTAAGAAAGGAAGAGGAGGGAATATATCGTCTGGGAGAAAATCTGAACCGTAATAGAAATGTCAGAGCTTTGTCTTTATGTAGGAACACGGCTCAACTTCCAGAAAGTCCTCACTGGCCACCGTCCTCAGCATGTGATGATAAAGGCCCGGAGCCTCTTTAGGATGATCTCTGCCGCCTTGCTAACTGTCCTGGTTCCAGAGGCTGTCCTCTTTAGGTATTGTTTCTTTTAATGGTTAAAGGAAACAGGCTGCACTGTGTGGTTGTGGCATTTTTAAACTTGTGGGATTCTTCCTGCCATAAAGGAATGAACAACCATTTCTTTGCTGCTACCTCATGCTTTTTTTTTTTCCACAAACTGGCCTCTGACAGTGATATGACAACCAGTGACGCTGTTGTTAAACCAGATGACTAACGGCAAGTGCATTGATGCAGAGCTTTCTTTAAAGGCTCTTTGGTGATGGTTAGTTTTGGCTACAAATCCCTGAACTCTGCTACACTTCTATGGAAAGTTTATGAATGGCCATTCATTTTAAAAGGAGCTGCCCTTCAGACTGCTGCGCGTCTAATGGAAAGCTTTCAGTCAGAGCAACGCCTCAACTTGTGTAACGCGCCCATCTCTTTTCGTCTCTTTCTCCGCTCAGAACCGCGAGCTGCAGATCATGAGGAAGCTGGACCACTGCAACATCGTCCGCCTGCGCTACTTCTTCTACTCCAGCGGAGACAAGGTCAGTTCGAGGAAAACTTTTGTTCTCATTCAGGGAAATCGTGGTTAATGGCAAACGAGTGCGTACTGCATGTACACACAAAACAAAACACCACTCTAACCCACACACATACACACAAAAAAGTGGTGAATTTGTATGAAGAAAATAGACTTTTCTTAGGGCTTTTCATAAGGCCACATTGATTGGAAAGAAGTTCCCTGTTTGGATGCAGGCATCACTAAAGCACACTGGTTATTGTGTACTTTTGCTGTATAAGTGTACAGTTTATCACAAAATCCCATTTTGTGTTGCTTTTATTTCATATTGATTTTTTTTCCTTTACTGTTCTTTTGGAAGTGGATCCCAATATTGCAAAGAGCAGTAATGTGTTCTTAATGTGCAATGTGCTCTCACTGTTTAGTTTTTTGTTTCAACCCCTAAATGCTTTTGCTCAATTTGCAGAAAACTAAAAAAGGTGCTCTGTAAGTTGCTTTCCCCCCCTGCCCTACAACCTAACATCATTTATAGCTTCTGCTTGATTATTAACTCATCTGTTGATTTCTTTGATTGGTTAACAGTCAGTGTTTTTTTTTCTTGTCTCGAACACAGTTGTCTGAAGCGTATCTTTACATTCCGCCTTTTTGGTGCATAACTGCTAACGTGAAAGGGAATTAAGGACAGTGAATGCACCACAACCACAAAAGCTTGAAGAGAAATGGCCGTTTAGAAGGTGTAGTGATGAATCACTCCAGTGATAGAAAGTTTCTGCCTATGACGTGGAGCTAAAGAGGAAAAATATTGTTATATTCCATTCTGAGCGTCGCTGCATGCTGTTCAGGTAGAACCACACCTACATAGATCCCCTTTAACATCAAATGGGAGCGACCGCTTGGTCAAAACCTCAAAAGGTTGGCCAGTCAAAAGTAGATCTTGTCTCGTGAGGGGGAACTCATCTTCTCTTCCTTTTTTTCCCTCTGCGTCACCGTTTTAAGCCGTTCGATAGACATCAGAACATACTGTCCACTGCCAGGGGTAAAGTCACCCCCTTTCGGGTTGCTGCCCCTCTCCCTCGACCATTGGCTTTTCCCTGGAGACTACTCGGCTGGACTGTGTCATTCAGCAGGCCGACAAACAGGCCGGTAGAGGTCTGCTCGTCAAATATAGACACACATGGACTTGGCACACATGCTGTCGGGACTATACCCATGACACTGCAGATAGGAATGCTCCCCCTGTCGCACAGCTCCTGGGGCCAAGGAAAGCTGCCGGGGATTATGGAGGTGGGGGGTATTTCATGGGGTTCGGCAGAGGGAGCGTGAACAGGGAGATGGTTCGGGGCGTCAGTTTGCACGCCTGGAGGCCGAGGGTTAATTATAGATCTACTCCAGCCTTTGCGACTGCACGGTAAGCTCCACCCCCCCGCCCCCTTACCCCCAGTCATGTGCCCGCTGACCTCTGGGAATCACTGCTCATTTTTCATACCCTGACAGGAGGGATCAGCTCAGCTCAGAACACACCCAACACCTTCATAATGGAAATATCTGCAAGCACCGGTTTTTACATTTTATTCTGTGGGCAAAATAAAGAAATGTACCCCCCTCCACCACAGTTGGCTTTATCTCCATGCCTTGTAAAATCCCCTCTGACGTGCAGCCTTTCATGTTCTCATTTCTCTGCCCCCCCCCTCTCGTATAACTGGGCTAATTCTGGAGACTGGCACTGTGTTGTTGGTATGGGGATTTACCACCCATAGAGGCCAGAGCGAGAAAGTAAGAGAGCAAGTAGGCGAGAGGTCAGAGGTTAGTGGATGGATGGGGAGCTTTGGAAAAGTTGACGGACAGATGGCGGTCTTTAAAAAGAAGACACGACAAGGGGACCTTGCGAGGCCTCATGGAGTGTGTAGGCGCTGCTCGGGTCCTGGGGGCCGCCACCGTGCACACAGGTAGTCTTATGCAACGTGTGACTTGTGGCACACGGTGTGCTTTTGCTTTTAACCTTTAACCTCTTGTATAATACTTGTGCTTGGAAAAAAGGGAAAAAAAAGAGCGGGCACCGTTCCAAAGTGAGTGGGCAGGTAAGCAAACAGGCGACTGACTTTTGGCTCCTCAAAATACGAGAGCACAGAAGACATTCAGCTGACAGAGCTGCCCTTTAGCTGCTTCTCAGCAGTAACTTTTATTTACTCTCACACACACACGCACACACACAGATGAGCACGGCGGCTTTAGGCCACGTACACCAATTGTACATTATGACAAGGAGCCATTGAGTTCAACAAATGAGCAATAACGGCAAATGAGTTATAGATTTATGAAATGGTTCTGGTTCTTTTAGAAATCTGTTCCTTGGCTGAGATGTGAGGGGTCAGAAAAGTGTGAGAATGACCCAACGCTCATCTCCCCCTTTTCTAATGTAACAGTTTCATTTTGAAAGTTTATTACATTTAGATTTTTACATTAGGACTCATCAACTCAGACGGTAACGGTACAGCCCTCATATTTACAAGATACTACTAATAGTAATATGTAGTGGTATAAAACAAATGAAAAAATAATAAGGGGAATCTATAGTGATTCCACTCATATTGACTATAGTGATAAACTCCAAAAAAAGCCTTTGGTGTTGATATGACCAGACTTAGTTCAATAATAAGAGCATATAGATTTTTTCTTTAAATTCCAGAATGGCCATTGGTCACAATAAAAATGACCACCCCCCCATAATCTTGAAATAGCTGTTTCTGTAGTTTGAAATCTTGCCAGGTACTCATAAAAAGAGAGAGCCGGAAACACTTCCCTTTCCATGAGCTGCACATTACGCAGAGTGGCGCTCCACAGGCTAATGGAGGTGAAAGTCAGACGCAGAGATTACTAAAGCGTTCACAAGCAGTCCTCTGTGGTCCCTGTAAACTGCAGAGGACCTCTGCCAACGCCGAGCCTCGGCTTATTTTCAGGTGAGAGCACACCAAAAGCTCAATTTTAACCAAAACAAACCTTTTAAAAGCATCCAGCGTGTTGTCCTGAACTCAGTCAGACCCTTTAGAGACACAGCTGTAATGTCAAACTACAAATGGAAAAAAAAAACCAAAAACCTTTTGGAGGGCTCTGAGACGCGTCTAAAATTTTGAGGAAAGGGTTTTCCTTTTCTTTTCCTTTTTCTTTTTTTTAAACCAAATGTTAGTGATTGCTGCTGGTGATTATCCAGGGTTTATTATAGTTTTCTTTTTTTTGTTTTGTGCTATCTTTTCACTTTCATTCAGACATCATGGTGTTCTCAAAGTTCTCATGATTGATAGTAGAAATGACATGTTTGGCTTTTTAAAATGTTTAACTTTTTAAGGTTGATTTTTTTCTAATCCAGCTGTGGCCCTGGATTGCTCCTATTCATTTCACACATGCACGTGGATGCTAAATGAGTGGTTGGACTGGATGGCTTCTGGGTAATGACTCGGGTCCAATGAGCCGATAAAGCTGACGCTCGAATTGCCAAGAAATGGCGAGGACAAGTTATTACTGCGCCTGCTGCGGCGTTTGCCTGTTTAGCTGGCTTATTCTTAGTGCATAGTGCCATGTTACAGGCATCTCCGCGAGTCTGCCAAGGCAGGCATCCACTCACCCCGCGCCCCCCCTCCGATTTAACCCTCATTAACACATTTTGCTGCGTAAATGTCTCTAATGTGAAAGATTCACATATGATTCGTAAGCGTATGCTCATGCCGTACGCCAGTATGACACCACGCACAGCTACAGGAAGCACACGCTCTATTAATACTCCAAAGGTGGCCCCCATGTTCAGCCGGCGCTCTGCAGACCATTCCTATTCCCACCGAGTGATTTCTGCTCAGTGTAGAACCGGGGGGGTGGGGGTGAGGGTGGGGGTGGTGGAGGTCCATGTCAGGTGGCGTCAATCTTTTCCTGCCAAATTGGAGGCTTTATTATTTCACCAAGAGTAACAAGCAGCCAATCAAGCGCCTGCCCTGGCTAACCCTCTGGGAACAAGCCAGGGAAGTGGCTTTTGTAGTGAGGCAGGAAGTGAGTCATCGCTGTTGCTAGGCTAAATATAGCTTTGATGGTGCTAGCAGAAGGAACAGGCTCTCCAGCCGGCACACATGTTATCAATGGGAGTTTAGCTGGTGGTGGGGGCGTTTCTTGAACGCACACGCAGTCACTCGCACACACACAGACACACACAGACACACACACGCTGGAAGACAGAAACTGCCAAAGTGGAGTGACAGGGATTCTGGAAAAAGAGGAACGTGCATCCATGCCTGTGTGTTGTCGTCTGCTCCCCTATCAGCAGCCCTCAGCTGTGTGCGTTTTTCATTTTTTATTTTTAGGTCTTTCATTTCACTCTCGCACATGAAATGCACGTCTTCCGGTGGACGCAGTTCTCACTGTGCTTCACAGACCAGCAAGACGGAGTTTGGAGAAAAGAGGCCAAAAAAAAAGAATGACTGGGAGACTCACTTGCTGTGATTTGGATTAGTTTAGCCTCAGAGCGCTTATTGAGCAGATTATGTCGCGGCGTTGGGTGGTTAGGGGTCGCTCCCTCTCTGAGCTTGTAGTAGGAAATGTTTGGCACGGAGAGCGTCCATAAAGATTACAGGCCCTTAAAGGGAACACGCATCCAAAGGCCTCCTGGAAAGGAGAGCGTTTTCACAGCGTCAGTTACAGGTAACTTTTTTTTTTAGAAGGAAATCTTTTTCGGCTTTAACTGAAGTCCAAACTTCACAAGGTAAAACTTGAAACAGTTTTTTAGTTTATTCAGAAAATCTTTTGAAATGCCTGAACCGGTAATAGATCAGTAATAAGCAGGGCTCGTAAGTTAGTCTGGTTTTTAATTCATCACACGGTTTCATAGGCCAAAAAGATATAAAACACATGTGAATACGCCTGTTTTTTTACCTACATCACTACTCTGTTTGTGTGTGTGTGTGTGTGTGTGTGTGTGTGTGTGTGTGTGTGTGTGTAACGGCTCCCAGACAGAAAGTAGTGCTCTGTGATTTGACTTTAATCTGAACCAGTTCCACAAAGGGCGAGACCCCTTTGATGTCTTTTGCAGACAATGACAGCAGGTGGAAAACGCTGGTGCTGTTTCCATTCCTTGTACTCGCTGCATATTTGCTCAGTGAACTGCTGCCGTTATTACTATCGGAGGCCCCCCCCCCCCCCTTCCAGGTCAGACGTGTGCACCGCGGTTAGCAAACAATAAGAAGAGGAAAAAAAAGGGGCACTTCCTCCCGAGCTCATAAGAACTCTGCAACATATTCTCTTGACCAGAATCATCAGCTAGTGGAGTGTTACAGACAAAAGGAGGGGGGAGACCTTCTTGGTTTTTGTCTTTTCTAGGGGGCGGTCTTGTTTCATTTCAGTTTGAGGTATGCGTAGCTTCGATTCATAAGTCCCAGACTTGCGGTTGATGACTGGGGCTTCCGTCAGCTCTAGTAAGATCCCAAGGAAAAAGGAAGTCTTGGAATCCTCCCCCACCCCCTCCCTCCCACACACACAGCATCCTTTCAGAGTCACGGTGCTCCAGAGCTGAACCCCGCCCTGCATCGCTGGCCTCCTTCACACAAGGAGGCGAGGAAGTGATATGATTGTCTGCAGCCGGTGTGAGGCGCAGGCCGCTATGACGCACAGCCGCGCGCTTCCTGCCCCGAGGGGACACACAATGGCTTCCCAGATAGAACCTGAAAAAATAACAGCAGTTACATCAGCTTGAAAATGGCCTCTATTATTAAGGGGGGGGAAAAAAAGAATCTCAGACAAAGAGAGAAAAAGAGCTGGTGACACATGCACAGAAGTGTTCATTTTTAGTTTTCCTCCATTTTCCTGTGAATTCGTTTTGACTTGAATGAATTTTTCCTGATTTGTGTGCATTTCCTAATGTTGGCACTGTGGTTTAAGCTTTTTTTTTTGTCCTTTTTCCCTTTTCAACAGAAAGATGAGGTGTATTTGAATCTGGTTCTGGACTACGTGCCTGAGACAGTCTACAGAGTGGCCAGACATTACAGCCGAGCCAAACAGACGCTGCCCATGGTTTACGTAAAGGTGGGTACCCAACGGCACGCCTGTGTCCAAAAGCATTACACCAACACGTCTGTTCATCAGCAGGTTTTTAGTCAAATGTCCTGTCAATATCTGGATTTAATTCTTTTACCATCCATCTGTAGCATGAGATTTTTTTCTTCTTTTTTAGGATTGGGGGATTATTTGTAGAGGGCTTTAGCTTGTTTTAGCATGGCTGTACATTCACATCTATCTCGGTTTAAATGACCAAATAGCACAGATCAGACACAGGCTTAGGTGAGCTGTGTGAAAATATGGGGAGTTAGATCACTTACCCGGTTAAAGAAAACTCACCGAAGTCTAGCATTGACTTTTGTCCGCTAATGTGGGCGGAAAACAAAACTGTAGCCTCAACCTTTTTCTGCAAAACTGGAGTATTTGCGGTGACGCGGCTCAGGTCAGATTAGTTTTTTGTTGAAATCCCTGTTCTCTGCGAGCCAAAACCTCTTGTTTCCAGTGAAAGGTCAGGGCAAACGGGGCAGCGCAGCTGCAGGTGAATGTGTGTGTGTGTGTGTGTGTGTATGGGTCAGTCTGAGAACGCGGTGCCTGACGTCATTGTCTGAGGATGCTCGCAGTGTCATGTGCCTTTCAGAGGGATCCCCTTAGTGTCCGTATGTAGAAGTACAGCCTGTGCCGAACGGAGTGAAGCTGAACTCTCCCCTTTTGTGTGTTTTTTGTGTGTCTCTCTGGCTGTACAGTTGTACATGTACCAGCTGTTCCGGAGTCTGGCCTACATCCACTCGTTTGGCATCTGCCACCGGGACATCAAGCCCCAGAACCTGCTGCTGGACCCGGAGACGGCCGTGCTCAAGCTCTGCGACTTTGGCAGGTGAGGCGGCGCCCAGCGGGAACTTTTTCAGGTCAAAATAGCCTTTAGGGCGGGGCACCGGAGGGTTTGTGGCCTTTCCACAGCAAAGGGAGCGAGAAGTGGTCACACCACCAAAGCATCACTAGAAAAGCGCTCATGTTATTTCTCTCAGGAATCTTGGGAGATTCTTGGTGACCACCCAAATTCTGCGGAGATCTGGGTCGCTCTGTGAGGAAATAGCCCGATCCATAGCCTATTTAACGCTGCAGTTTTGACTGGTTTTCAAAAGACCGAAGCACTGGAAAGCTAAAAGATGGCTCATCCCACTAAGTGTCAGACTGTTCGCTTGAAGAATGTTTGAAGAAGCTAGCGGACAGCAGCTTAGGATTTCAGCAGTTTTCCCTGATGTTAACCCCCCCCCTTTCTGATGACGACTTCACGCTTTGACTCTGCGTTGCAGTGCGAAGCAGCTGGTCCGTGGAGAGCCTAACGTGTCCTACATCTGCTCCCGCTACTACCGAGCTCCCGAGCTCATTTTTGGCGCCACTGACTACACCTCCAGCATAGGTAGGCAGACGGTGGGGCCCCCCCGCCTGCACGGGCTCCGGCCGTACGGCCTCTGCTGCGTCTCTGCTGCTTTTCTCTGACGTGTCCTTCCTCCCCCTTCCTGCAGATGTCTGGTCAGCCGGCTGCGTACTGGCAGAGCTGTTGCTAGGACAACCGATCTTCCCAGGCGACAGTGGAGTGGATCAGTTGGTGGAAATCATCAAGGTAAAGAGCCACGGGGCTTAACGTGTTCGCCTCCCAGTGGATTTTCACCTGAGACGCACAGATTGACATTTCCCCCTCTTTCCGCGGCAGGTTCTCGGCACCCCGACCAGAGAGCAGATCCGCGAGATGAACCCCAACTACACCGAGTTCAAATTCCCCCAGATCAAGGCACATCCATGGACTAAGGTGAGTCAACAGGTACAAAAGCACTTTTACTTCTTTTACAGCCCCCCCCGCTGCATTTTGCTTGCTCCATCCCGCTTCATCCCCCTGTGACAGGGCTGCATGTGGATTCAATGTTAGATAAGAACCAGATAATTTATCCAGTTAAGAATACTTGTTTAGTTTTTTGGTATAAAATTTAAAGCATGCTCGGCACCACCTCTCCTCCATGAGGTGTTGGTGTCCCCAGCTCTTACACGCCAAACCCGCTCACCCCCCGCTCTCACGCTTGTTGTTGTTGTTTCGTGCTCGCCCCCCTGTGATGTGTGATGTGTCTGTGATGTTAAAAACGGGTGTAAAGGGAAATTCGTCCCTCCCCTCCGAGGTCTGTCTGTATTTTTCCATTGGAAAACAGCCCTCCAATCAGCCGGCGGCAGCAGGCCCTGCTGTCTCTGAGGCTCCTGGCTAAATCCAGCTGCTTCCACTTTACTGCTGTTCATTCAGGATCTTTGAAAATAGATAGAATATCACTGTTGATCAGACCAGAATCGTCTCCCCGGTCCGTAGTTCAGCGTACGTGTGTTGTTTAGCAGACATTGTGTGGTCTCCCCTCCTGACCCGGTCTGTCCTGGCTGCTCAGGTCTTCCGGCCCCGCACGCCTCCAGAGGCCATCGCCCTGTGCTCCCGCCTGCTGGAGTACACGCCCACGGCCCGCCTCACCCCCCTGGAGGCCTGCGCACACTCATTCTTCGACGAGCTGCGCGACCCCAACGTCAAGCTGCCCAACGGGAGGGAGAAGCCCTCGCTCTTCAACTTCACCACCCAGGGTGAGCGCCCCCGGCACAGGCCGCCGACCCTCCCAGGTCCCCGCTGGGATTCAGGGGGGAGTCGCGCACGCATCCAGACGGAAAAAGGGCAGTGTTTTCTGGTTCCTGTCTAATTTAAGCAATCGCCCGCTGTGCTTTCTCCTGCCCTGCTTCTCTGTGTCACGAATAAATTGAACGTCACCGTCTGAAGCACGAAGCCGGTTCCTCAGAAAGTTTCCCCCACTGTTATTTCAGGGTGTCGCGCAATAGGTGCCACAGTTCTAAACATCCTCCCTTTTGTAGGGTTAGGGCTTTTTTAGAGTTTTTTTTCTTAAAGCTATTATCTTTGTTTTGTACTCAATTTGAAAGTGATTTGTTGCTCTTAATGGCGGTTGGTAGTGTAACCAGGTGACACTATTTCCTCTTTTTCAGAGCTATCCAGTAATCCCTCGTTGGCCTCCATACTCATCCCTGCCCACGCCCGCAGCCAGGCTTCTGCCTCCACCCCAACCAACGCGTCTGCCACCACAGGTTAGAGCCACACGCCCCTCAGCAGACTCTCTAGTTGTTCAGTGGCTAGAAGCTCTGCATTCAGGACTTTCGAGGTACCGGTCGCAGCATCCGAAAGCAAATTCATTGCCTTTTAATGAAATTTTGGTGGGAAAGCTCCAATGTTTTTTTATTTGAATTTGTTCTGCACGGCCCACATTTCCACGCTGGTTCAGTGTGGTTCATTCCACTTCACTCAGTCCCACGACTCGAACCGCTGCCCGAATGCCCGTGAGTCCAGGGGCTGGGAGACCCCCACAGGAAACCCCGGAATCAGCTTTGCTCGAAACTCTGGCCGGCACGTTGTTGGGCGGGGGCTGGAAATGTGTAGCATTGTTAGTCCGTCCTCTGGTGGCGCTGTGAGGGGCTTGCACCCAAAGCCGGGCTGCTCCAAACTAACTGTGGGCCCTCTCCCTGCACACAGACGGCAGCAGCACAGAGCGAGGCCCCAGCACCACCACCGCCTCCGCCTCCGCCTCCAACTCCACCTCCTGAGCCCACAGGCCGCCCGCCCGCCCCCCCGCCCCGGCCCCAGCCCCGGCCCCAGCCCCAGCCCACAGCCTCTCCGTCGCTCTGGCCAGGAGGTGAGCCCTGCTCCACCCCCCCCCCCCCCCCCCCCCCCCCCCCCCCC